CCCCATATATTAATATATTTTCGAAATGTACGCAAAATTTTAGTGCTTTTGTTTTTAGAGTAGTTTTTTTTGAAAAATTTTACCGATGCAGACCCTTACAAATTATTTTTTTACGGGGATCCCTTTAAAGATATGAAAACGGTTTCTGTAGGGTGGCCAGTAGCAAGGTTAAAGGTATTTGAATCTGTGTTAAAAAACTTTTTATTTTATACAGGGTGTATACAAAACATGTGAAAAGTTGAACTTCAAAAATACCAAATTATTTCATTTTTTTAAATGGAACCATCCATTTTGTTCTATTTTATTGAAATCAGCGATAAAAAATAAGGAAAGTTCATGTTTACTTCTCTATACCTAAACCTAATAGGTTTGATGATATTAAAAATTTTACTTAAAACTTACTTTTTTGCCTTATTCTTAAATAATCCGTTTTTACAAGTTGGCCATGTAAATTGTTTGTAATTAATTGATTATTAATTTTAGTACTTGTGAGATATTACACAAATTTTTAAATTTTAATTACAACTACCTTTCCAGATACTTCTAATGGGCCCTCGTCGTGAAACACACTGTATCTCGCAAACTAATTGTCATAGAGACTTGCGTTAAAAAAATCTTATAACTAAATCGGCCAAAAGAAAATGCTGGAAATAATTATTAAGTCCCTAAAATAGCTGCTAGAGGAAGTAACCCCCATCTTCATTTTTAAAAGTCATTTTTTTCCAAATTTCCAGCGATAATTAGTTAAATTTAAATATAATTTTTAAGCTCTACAATAAAACACTTTTTGAAAACAAATTTACCTATCCTCTCGCTTATTTAATTTCTCCTACTAACCATCTAATTTCTTCAATTTTCCAACATGCCACGCAACATTCATTTGATGAGATATAAAATATCTTAATTATAATTGTTCTGTTATAATCATATCTGGATGAGCATCATTATTTATCTTGCAGGCAGTGATGTTAAAATTATTTTATAATATGTAATTAATTACAATTACAATTACTTTGGCAAATTGTAATTAATTGCAATTACAATTACAAAATTTGCGAATGTAATTACAATTACAATTAAAGTTACAATTACAAATACAATTACAATCACAATTACTTTGCTTTGGTGTCAGTTTTAAGTAATTATTTAGAGATTTGCAATCGAAATTAAACTTTCCACGTATTGAAAATATTAAATAAGTCCTTTTGTGTCCAATGTAATTGAAATGTAATTGTAATTGTAACGAAAGGAGTAATTGAATTACAAATGAATTACAATTGAGGGGCTTTTAATTAATTACTGCCTCAATTACAATAAAAGTAATTCAATTACTTTTTCAATTACTTGTAATTAATTACTTAACAACACTGCTTGCAGGTTATAGTTTATAATGAAGTGCCAGTTTGTGCTCATCCTGTTCCAGTTACTACCCAACGTTCTTCAGTTACACCCAATAATAATTAAATGACAGGTTTTAAAACTCTTAAACTTCCCCAAACCCTCCTCTTAAACTCCAGTTCCTTATAAACTCTCACAAAACAGAGATGGGACTCGATTAAAAGTAACCGTTACCTCATTTCACCTGTTACATAAGAATTCCTTCCGTTATTACGAGTCACTATTATTGTTATTATTACTAGTTTCTTATCGTAATGTGATTATTGAGGTCTCTTTTCGGTTTGTAAACCGCAAAATAAACCGAAATCGAGCGAGCAAGGTCATTGGAGATTTGCATTATTCCGTATCAAACGTGAAATATTCGGTAATATGATGGTAAAATTAATTCTTTTTTGTTGAGATAATGCCAGATTAAATACCTAAATAATTTCGTTGTTGTTTCTATGCAAATTAATTATTAGTGTATTAAAATGTACAGGGTGTTTATTATAGTCGGAGAGCTGGTGACACATTTTTGAGAAGGTCCTTTAGGCAAGATGAAATTCTGAAAAATTATAATTTCGTGTATTGGTGAATGCAAAAATAATATCAAAAAAAATATTCTTTAGGCAACTTGATTTATTTTTATTTTTTTTAATTTAGTATTCATACGAATAAAAAATAAGTATCCCAGACCTCTTTGAAAAATATGCCTGGTTATATAAAATAAAAAAAAATAAATTTAAAATAATAAAGGTTAAAATAATTTCTTGGTTTTTTCTTTTTTTAGATTTATTTTAGGTTAGGAAAGGGTTATCGAAATGCGGTTTTCACAGGCTTGTTTGACAATTATTTGACAATTTTTCTACAAAGAAAAAATTATATCGTTGCATTTAAATTTTTTGAGAAAATCGCTGTTTTTTTGAGGTGATTTCAAAAAACGCCCTCTTGCGGCCAAGCAAGCACATTTAATAAAATCTTACATAGTATAAGTTATAGACCATAGAAAGTGCTTTTCGACGATTTTATTTATATGAAAATCCGTTCAGCCGTTTAAAAGGTATTAACATTTATTTGTTGAAATATTAAATAAAAACCTCCATCACTTTATTTTATTTATTTTATTTAAATGATAGTCAAAAATATACAACAAAAAAGAATCGCAATTTCCTCTACTATCAAAACAAAATGCATATTTGATACGAAGCGAAAATTTGGAAAAAAATGACTTTTAAAAATCAATTTAGTCAATCTCAAAAAAAAATATATTTTAAAATCTTTAAAAAATATACAGGGTGAGTCACGACGGACAATGTATAATGTTCGATTTCTGTTGAACAACTCGGCAAGGGCTACATTTTAAAAATATTTTCAAACATACAGGGTGTCCCAAAAAAGTGTGGTGTATCACAGTTATTTTTTTTCTTATAGAACATCTTATATTTGATAAAATTTTTGAATTGTCTTTCAAAAATAATCTATACTTTCATAAAGGGTTCCTGTACCTAAATACAGTGTGTTTTGATTTATTTGGATATTTCTGAAAATGTAGGGGTTTAGTAGGGAAAAATTAAATATCTCAAAATCTGAACATCCGGTATTAATTTGCTCTTGAATCTAAATAATAGAATGATTGTTCTACTTATTCACGAATTTACTATTGCAAAATTATTTACAGGGTGTTTAATACATGATGTTCTTTTATTAGCACTTTCAAAGTGTAATAACGTGCTTATTGTAAATGGAACACCCTGTATTTTAGTACCCTAACATATAGAGAATTTAATTTTCTTTCAATCTGTATGAGGGTGTTCTATACCTAACTCATCATGTATTTTACATTTTTTGCCGATTTTTGATAAAAATCTTAAATTATCATAGTGTTTTTTACATTCATTTTGGCCACAGAAGGATTGATTTTAGATTATGGGCTTTTGAAAAAGTGACCTATAGGTACTTGTACAAATTTTTTCAGGGTAAAAGTTTATACATGGTGTCCAAAACGTATAAAAAAAGGTGGAATTTCAGTCAAATTTAATGCTCGAATGTAAAATCAAAAGAACCTACTATTCAATGTTTTTTTCAAAAGCCATACCTTGATACCAATATCGAACCACAACCTTTAAGGCAAGAGCGGGGACAAACGAAAAATCCTGTTTTTTATTGAAGATTCGGAATCCTGCCATCAAACTAAGCAAGTTTTGTAAGTACAAAATTTTCAAAACTTACGACCGTTTGTGTATCTAATATTTGATAAAAGCGCTCTAAAATTTTAGGTTGATTTCAAAATTATAATAAAATATAGGGTGTCCCAATTAAATTTTCATTAATAGATATATTTTTACTCAAAATTGGGACATGTCTACATCATTTTTCATACAAAATTAATTAATATTAATTTATAAATTTAATATTAATAATATTAAATATAATAAATTCAATTATTTTTTAATAGGTAGATTCTAATATACAGTGTGTCCACGGATGGGGTTGCCTATAGGAGAAAAATTTTTATTATTCATTTTACGACAAAAAGTCATTGTTTATAAAAATTTTTGCTTCTTTTAAAAATGAGAATAACACTGAAAAATCTTAGATTGGGTCTACAGGGTGTTGTCAAATTAAGAAAACATGAAAATACCTCAAGATAGAAGTACCATTATTTTTTATTTTACACAAAATTTTTATAAAAGAAAGTTGCTTATAATCTAAAATAAAGCCAGAATACAAATTTTCAAATTAAAATTCCAATTTTGTGTGTCCACGGATGGAGTCGACCAGAGGAGAAAATGATTATTAATTTTACGAAAAAAAAGTAATTCTTTATAAAAAAAGAGCATTAAAAGAGAGATTAAAAGCATTTTTTTTGTAAATAATAATGTAAGATAATAAATATATTCTTTCGTTCTTTCTTGAAATTTTTTCCTGTTTCTTAATTTACTAACACCCTATACGTCTTATTTAATGTTTTGATATGTGAATTTCATAATTCGTAAAGTTAATAATAACCATTTTTCTTATCTGGTCAACTTTATCTAGGGACACACAAAATTTGAATTTAAGTTTGCAAATTTGTATTCAGGCTTTGTTTTAGATTATAAACAACTTTCTTTCATAAAAATTTTGTGTAAAATAAAAAATAATGGTACTTCTCTTTTGAAGTATTTTCATGTTTTCTTAATTTGCCAACACCCTGTAAATTCAATCAAAGATTTTTCAGTGTTATTCTCATTTTTAAAAGAAGCAAACATTTTTATAAACAATGACTTTTTGTCGTAAAATGAATAATAAAAATTTTTCTCCTGTAGGCAACCCCATCCGTGGACACACTATATACATTGAAATTTTTTTCCAAACACAGAATACCTAATTTTTTATTTGTTGTAATAATAATAATATAATTCGGTAATAAATATTAGTTTACAATGTACATTTATACTCCCTATCCTCCCTATCCTCCCTATCCTCCATATAAAAGCCCTATACTTCCCTATGCTCCCCATAGAAACCCTATACTCCCAATAATAACCTTTTTTAAAATCTCTCTAAAATTCCATGTACTTCCCAAGGTAACTCCCTAGACTCCCTGCACTCCCAATACCCCCTTTAAAATCTCCCCAATCAATATTAGGTCAATTCATATTAAATCTTTTTTGAAATCTAATAATAACAAATTTATTTTCTCTTCTCCGGTAAGGGCGGCAAATCGAACATTTCGAGTTTCAAATCGTAGAAAGTCGGTATGACCTGATCGGCCCTTTTCCTCCAAGGGTTGTCTTCGGGAAGGGTGGGATTTGGTATCATTACGACGCGCATTCCCGCCGTTTTCGCGGCTGCTACGCCGTTGGGGGAATCCTCGAAAACTAGTACCTAAAAAATGTTAAATCATACAGTTCTGTTCGGTTATTCAGCCATTTTAATGTATGAATAATCGAATTTGGTGAAATTTGAGAGAAAATCGCGGTTTTCTCGAAAACTAATAGAAATAAAGATACCTTGTTTGTTTTATTTTAAAGGAAAAACATTTCTCTGCAACTTTTGTAGAAATGAAAATTTTCCAAAATCGCTTGAATTTCGAGATATTTCCAGTTTTTATCGCAATTACAAAATTTTTGGAAATCAATAAAAAATTTATTTTTTCATTTCGAAGAAACGACTTTTTTCTACATTTTTTCAAGAATCCAAAATTTTTCAAAATCGCTTAAATTTAGAGATATTTCGAGTTTTTATCGCAATTACTGACTTTTGCAAATCGATAAAAAATTACAATTACCTCAAAAACTAATTAAGATAGAAACATTCTTATTGTTTCATTTAGAAGAAACGACTTTTCTCTACATTTTTTAGGAATCCAAAATTTTTCAAAATCCCTTAAATTTCGAGATATTTCGAATTTTTAACGCAATTACAAAATTTTTGCAAATCGATAAAAAATTGCAATTATCTCAAAAACTAATTAAGATAGAAACATTCTTATTGTTTCTTTTAGAAGAAACGACTTTTCTCTACATTTTTTTAAGAATCCAAAATTTTTTAAAATCGCGAGATATTTACTTTTTGAGATATTTCGAGTTTTTTTTTATAAATTGAATCTTATTTTGGTGTCATTCGACATAAAATTAGAATTGTCGCGAAAACTAATGGAGATAATTACACCGTTTACTTACGTCTGAGAAAAAACATTTTTCTATAATTTTTTTAGAATAATAACTTTCCTAAAAGGAAATATTTCGAGTTCTTTTAGAAATTGTATCGAAATTTATAAATTTGGCGAAATTTGGAAGAAAATTGCAATTATCTCGATAATTAAAGTAGATAAAACCACTCCCTTTTATTAATTTTAAAGGAAAAAGATTTCCCTACAACTTTTACCAAATCGAAAATTTTTCAAAATCGCTTACCTACTTTTCGAGATATTTCGAATTTTCTATGAATCTTATCTAATAACTATACTTATCTTATCTAATAACTAACTTCTTAAATTATTAAAATTTCATGATTTCTTCTTTAAATCAACCAAACTCTCTTTCGTATAGAAATTTATTATAGATTTTATTATAATCTCCTGATAGCGAATGGAATATAATTAATTATTATAACAAATTTCCATTTCTTTTACCTTTAACAATACCACATATCATCACTCGTCCATATTTAACAACCCCAAACTCACCTTGCAAGGGCAGGGCTTCCCCGGGAACCTTTTAGCAGCGACCTGAAATACATCCGGATGGGGCTTGCCCTTCTGCACCTCCGGATCCGTCCCTGAACACACCACGTGCTCGAACAAAGACATCAAATCTTTATAATTTTGCGTCTTCGTTCTAAATTGATCCTGATTGGAGGACGTCGCGACGGCTAGAGGCACCCCGGAGCAGTGCAGATGCCTGATGAGCTCCTCTACGCCGGGCATCAGCTCCGGCGATTGTGTATATAGGTTCACCTTCAAAAAAATAGAGAATAATTGGACCAATTACTACAATAATTACTAACCTAATTACTAACCTAATTACTAACCTAATTACTAACCTAATTACTAACCTAATTACTAACCTAATTACTAATATAAATATTGATTTGATTAGTTGTTTATCGATGAACTGGTCTTTCGCAAACTAACCTAATTACTTCGTTAATTACTGACCTACTTACTAGCCTAATTATTAATCTAATAACTGACCTACTTACTAGCCTAATTATTAATCTAATAACTGACCAAATTATCTATTTCTGATATGCATTTATCAAAGCACTGCCCTTTACCTTGTTACAAATAAAAGTACCTACTAATTTAATTACTCATAAACTTATCTACATTGTGCTATGTATTTATGGAGGAAGTGTTTCTTTCTAAACTTTACAAACGTAATTACTAATGTAATTACAGACGTAATTACCTATTTTAGGTGTGTATTTATCGAGAAACTGTTCTTTTGTGAACCATCCCAATGACAAACGTAAATACTAATTTAATTGCTGATATAATTACCTACTTTTGCTATGTATTTACCGAAGAATTGATCCTATAATGTACACTAATCAAACACAATACTACTCTAATTACTGATCTAATTTAATTAGATACCTATTTTTGCTACGTAATTGTTTCTTTGTAAACTAACCTAATTACAAACATACATACTACTCTAATTCGAGAATCTGGGTCTTTGTAAAGTAATTACTAACGTAAATACTAATCCAGTTAATTACCTAATATCCAAGCTAATTACAAAACTGTTTACTGATATAAATAACCTATTTTACTGCGTATTTATCAAAGAAATGTTCCTTTATGAACTAAATAATTCCTAATATAATTTCTAATGTAGTTAGTAACCTAATTACTGACTTAATTACTAACATAACTTTAACCTAAATACTAACCTAATTACTAGCCTAATTACAGACATAATTATCTACTTTTACCACGCATTTATCGATGAACTGTTCCTGCATCAAGTACGAACCCACGAAGCACTAAGTTAAAATACTTATCTAATTACTAACCTAATTACTGACCTAATTACGTACTTTTGTTATGTATTTTTCGACAAACTCTTCCCTTGTAATTGGTAGCTTTAATTCCTCCATCATGATCCGGATAGATTCGGGTTCCGGGGTGCCCATTACCTTGACTTTCATATCCTCCGTGTATTGTTTGCCATATTCCTCGGCTATTTCCTCACCTATTTTCGCGAATATTGATTCGGTTTCTGCAAATTCAATAATTTGATTAATTTAGTATATATTTAAACATTTTTGTAATTGGTTAAGATTGATTGTAATTATACCTAAAATTACCCCGTCGAGATCGAAAATAACGTGCGTCACTTTGATTTTGTCTGTCATGGCGTGTTCGGAACTGTTTATTATTGAATGTGGAATTGATGATAAATGTCGCTGATTCTTTATCTTTATTGGTGTGATGTAAGTAATGGTGTATAACAAACATTGATATAAGGCTTGTGGTGGTTTTTTTTTGACATTGTATAATGGCAATTCTACACTGTGCTCCACTTCTGATTGCAACATGGTCATTTTATGAGTGGAACAGAGAAAGATTATTAAAATGACAGTTGTCAGAGTGAAAAGTTGCAATGACACAAATGTCGCTCTTTCCTTTTCCTTTGTAAGTGTCTAATGGAAGTTGTCTTTATCGCACCCATGGCTTAATATAACCTATGTTGCGAACAAAAATAGAGCAATCTGTATAAGCAGTGTGCTTATTTTTAACAGGTATTAAATTTTACTCATATGAACATATTTTCACGCTGACAACTGTTATTTTATCAATATTTCCTTGTTTAACTCATAGAAATGACCATGTTGCGGTCTGAATTAAATCAATCCATAGACCTATTAAGTATGGACGCGGCTTTATCGGTATTTTGAGGTTATGGAACCTCAGTTTGAGAGATGGAGCTAGTTTGGGCTAAAAGTAGGCGGGACCAAAAAATATATAAAATATATACAGGGTGCGTAAAAAAAAGCAATTAATCTGTTAAATTATTTATACGCTTAATATTTAAATATTGTTTTTATCTTGGTATCCACTTGGACAGAAGAATGACCTGGAAGAAACATATTTTTTACGAGAGAAAGCAGTTAGGTCTTAAATTGCGAAATCTGTACTGGCTAATAGGTAGGATGTTCCAATTAACAATACAAAATAAGAACTGTATTTGCAAATGCGTGGGAATTTAGGCTCAGCTGAAAAATGCATTTTGCTCGGCAAAATAATAATAAATCACAATACCCTCCGCTGCACTCCTCAACCCTATTCTACCATAAGCTACCCTCCTCTACCCCAGCTACCTTGCATTTCTGAAAACGTAACTCACGTGGTCTTTTGCTTTCTTACTATTGGCTAATGCATTGTCCAATCTCTCATTGGGCCATATGCCCAAACTAGCTGCATCTCTCTCATTCATCGATAACACTACCTCTTTGTCTAAACCGCGTCCATAGTTAATAGGTCTATGAATCAATCGGTATATTGCAATTCTGTAAAAAATATTGACATATGCGTTAGAAGGGAAAAAATTAACATGCCGTTAAAACACAACAAAATCTGTTAAAAAGTGGATCACATGCATAGACCTATTAATCATGGACAAGGCCATAGACAAAATACACATATAGACCGGACACTCTGTCAAAAAAGTGGTTCGCCTGAATGTGCTACCATCTATTGGGGTCCAACAAAACCTCAAAACCTATTATAGGAACCTATGAGATTTTAGCATTTATTGGCGGGAATTCTCACACATTTAAATGTAGCAGGTGAGATTGTAGTTTAGGAACAAAAAATACATATACATATAGTATGCTGTATACTTATATTAAACTGCTACTAAATAATACACACATTGTATAATAATGATAAAATAAATAAAGGATAATAATATATAATACATACATGACATACATTTTAATTTAAGAACAATTTAACTACTTACTTTATAAAAATAAACGTTTACGCGTAATGGCGTACTGTAAACAATAACAATTCGTTTAGGATTTCTTCTTTTCCTTTATTTAGATTGGACTTGGCTGTCAATGCTGTTCGGCAACAGAAAATGTTGTTGGACCCCAAAAGATGGCGTTGCAAATCGTTCTCCAAAATTTTCAAGAGTAAGTGCCACCCCCCTGATCTCCAGTTTTCGGATTTCCCATTGTAAATGAATCACCCTGTATATAAAATTTTAATTCGTACCAGTGACGTCCAGGGGCCTGTTTCATATAACTGACAAGTCCTGTCGGACAAGTGTAGTCTAAATTTGACTGGAGGATTTGACAAGTTTGTGTTTCATAAAATTACACGAGTAGATTATTAGTGACAAGTAACTAGCCTAATATTAAAAGTCTGTTTTACAATTGTAGATATAGGTTTGCGTTTCATAAAAAATAAATTAAACAACACTTGTCATTTATTCCTATCATATATTAGTGTAAAGCGACAGGGATTTGATTTCCTGTCACCATCCAATTTACTTGTAAATTTAAAAGAAAATGTGGTTTAGCGAAAGTGAGGAGGAAGCTTAATGAGAGTTTATTAAACGATTTCTAATGAATTCGATAAAAATTGAGGAAATAATAAAATCTATTGGTCCCCCCTAATGTGTAGAACCAACGTATAGAAATTATGCATTGTCTTTGTTCGTTCCAATGCTCACATTTTATAGCTTTTGTAGAAGTGGGACTAAATTTTTCAAATAGAATGCCCTTTCTTTATTAGAATAATTGAAAATTAAATAAATGTTGCTGCATTTTAGAAATAAGTTTTTTATCAATAAACGAAATTCTGGTTCACATCTAAAAATAGCTCCAACGAGAAAAAAAACAATTTCAAAGTAAAAGTTTCCCAATATCGAAAAACGAAGATTGTGCTATACTTATGCTCCTCAGTCCTCAGTATAGTAAGTACTATTTTTTTCTTTTTGGCTTAAGTCTGATGTTTAATTAATATTACAGTTGTAGAAAAACGGATGCCAAAAATTTAATTCGACAAGTGTCGAAATTTATTTTATGAAACGAAATTTTTAAATACTTGTCAACCAACACTTGTAACTTGTCGACTTGTAACTTGTCAACTTGTCAGTTATATGAAACAGGCCCCTGTATGGTAATGACAGGTACGTATTGGACAATATTCGAAATTTAAAGAAATTTAAATTTTAATTACTAATTTTGGTCAAATTTGACAGAATTGTAATTGACATAAAAATACCCCGTTTATTTTAAATTAAGAGGAAGACTTTTCTCTACAATTTCTCAACTCTTTTTCCTACAAACAAAAATTATACAAATTATACATACAGGGATCTACCGCGATGTTACTAAAAAAAAAAAAAAACGCTGCGAACAGGATTCGAACCTGTGCGGGCATAGCCCATTTGATTTCGAGTCAAACTCCTTAACCACTCGGACATCGCAGCTTTTCGAATTGAAGTTAAAACTAGCCTAGTTTACTTTAGTACAGTAGTAGGTACTTACTTTTAGTTTACTAAACTAGTTCAGGAAAAAATAGGAAATGGCTTTAAATAATCTAACATCCATTATTAAAGACCTGGTTGCAAAAAGAAGACAAGCCACTTTTTTCCGTTTCTTTTTAATGGACGATTTATCTTTCTATGGAATGAAGAAAAATATTCTTTTAGTTTGTATGGAAGAAGCATACAGCTTCAACTAATATTCTACAAGTTATTAAAAAGGAAAGGAGTTGTAACAGTCTGTGTTTCGAAACGTTATCGAACGTTTTTCTGATTTCTCATTTTTTGTTTCTAAAATGTATTAAAAAATGGAGCTGTTCTCTTCTAGCACCGAGGTCTTCAATTACAAATAGAAGAATCTTCCGATAAGAAATGTACACATTAATTGTACATTTCAATTTATCCAAAACTATACCATATTCCATTTCGTTAGGCAATGACGTCACGAGCCAGCCTGTTGCAATGTTGCCGGGTTGTAATTGAAATCCTTTATATGACAAATATACTTAATTTAAGGTTATGTTTACTTTCATTTAGAGAAAACGTCAATTAAAAGATTGTCATTTCAAAAAAATCATATAGCTCCTAAAAAATTTATTCTAGCTATTATTTTTTTTCTTTAACTATAAAGAAAATATTCATAGAAGACGTATGCCAAATTTCTCAGATATTTACATTAGTATCACAGTTATTACAAAAAATTGATTTTTCTCTTAAAACTTTAACACCCTATATCTCAAAAGTTAAGACGTTTAGGATATAGGGTCAATAACATGGCTAATAACCTTTAAGGTTTAGGCCAATAGTAGACCCAATGTTCTATTTACACTTGGCAACATTGCACGTCACATCGAGAGACTTTCCATCGCTCGAGAATACGGTAAAGCTCTTGTGGGAGGAAACTCTCATGGGAGATTTCCATGGGAATTCCACGGGTACCACGGGTACCGATTCTTGAATCATTCCAATGAGAACTCTTCCCATGGGAATCTCCCATGAGAGTTTCCTCCCACAAGAGCTTTACCGTATTCTCGAGCGATAGAAAGTCTCTCGATGTGACGTGCAATGTTGCCAAGTGTAAATAGAACATTGTGTTTACTATTGGCCTAAACCTTAAAGGTTATTAGCCATTTGTACTTTTTTCAATTAGATAAAGAAGAAGAGACCCTGAAATTTTGAATATTAAATTAATTTAAAAATACTCCAATATTTAACTATTTCAATTATGTTCAATTTATTGATAATCACAATGGTGAAACTTTTTGTGTAAAGATATGTTGTATGATAGACCCTTTAGTTTTGATCAGAAAAGTGTTACTTGTTTTAATAGCATAAATTCAGCCCATATCGAGATATTTGTATTTAAAATATTTTTCCCATAGTATTTATAATAAGGGTTATACTTGAAAAAAAAATAGAAATGACATTTGACCCATAGTTATTTAGTAAAATATTAATATTTACAGGTCTTGATTCTATGTTTAAAATATTTGCCATTCCTTATGAAATACCATAACCCTTCGGTCTAATTAAACAGTAGGTAACATTTCTAAATTTTGAATTGATAATCGTCAGTATGCAAAGTTTATCGTAGCGATCACTTCGTATTTTGCATAATTTCGTATTGTTAGGTTATATTTCTTTTGTACAAATGTTATGAAATGATTAATAAACTCTACTATTTAGTATTTAACCATCAAAATACGATTAAGACGGAGCGTCATTTATAGGTTAATAATAACAATATACTTTTGAAACGTTTGACGTTTGTCATTTGTTGCCAATGCGCAAGTCTTCCTATGATTTCTCCAGTTTCCCGTGGCTGAGAGCATCAGAATTTCCCATGGGAGCGGAGAGAGGCTCGAGAATACGGCATATAACATTTCGTGAGAGATACGTCACAACTTTTTCATGGGAGTATCGTTCCTATGATTCAAGAATCGGGGCCACGGTATATACAGTGCATTTCTTTAATGTCCCCCCCTTTTATTTTTTGAACGGATCAACTTAGAATATTGAAATT